TGACAGTGATCTGTGACGTCATGTACAGGGAAAAAAGAGCTGGACGCTACCTTACGACGAAACTTACTGCATGATGGAACTCATACCTGCAGAAACTCCCAAATATTGATAATGTCGATTAAAATGTTTCAGCTGGACAATAATAACAATTAGTACTAAGACATTAACTTTCGATTAAAATAAATACGCCTTCGTAGACAAAAGTAACACTTAAAATAACTTTACTTAACATACATTAAGTTCTAGCGATCTAATTTAAACTAAAGGCTACTTCCCAAACGCAGGTTTATTTTTATGCAAATTACACTTTAAATTCTGTCAATAGCACCAATACTACACAAAAACGCATTGTTTTTACCTTCCTCGTACAACCACAGCCGTCATTCTGAATACTACCTGCAATTAGTTGATAGTCGTGTAAAGGAATTGAGAATGTTTGATCATTTTACTGTTCTTTATACGATCGAGACAAGATATTTTTTAAAAATAATGTAATCAATTAGTTCTGCAGGATCAAATAACTGTTAATAAAGGTAACTTATGCAGATATAAATTGTAGTATTTGAGGTTTTCACTGCGGTGAGTATGAAGATGGCTGTCTTCAGATATAAATTCTTGACTCAGGGTTTATTAGAATTTAGAGAACTTGTTAATATATAATAAGAACCAAGTTTCCCGAAAGGAGAGTTCCAATAAGAAAACATATAAATTTTCAGAGCTTCCAGAAATGTATACTAAAATAATACCGCTACCCTTGCTGCAACCGCCCTTCCGCTGACTGTTTTTCTTCTCACTCTGGTTGCCCCGGGATCAAACCCAGTAGCGTGCCCGGTTTGCTCGCGGTTACAGCTTGATATAAAGCGGAAGGATATAAGGGATAATAATTGGGGTAAGGTTTGTCGGCGAGCAAGATTTTCCGACCCTCAGGGATTATACGGGGACTGTGATAGTTGGAGCGGCCGTGCGCCAAGGACGTGAAATCTGTGGGGATGACAAACTGCAGACCACACCGAAGTCACCTTGGAAATATTTCACCTTTTAATTCCTTTTAACAAGTTATTCTTATTTTTGGGCAGCGCGATGATTCGGCTGTTGTATTTTGATCTTGAAGTTTAATGAATCGAGGAGAAACTGTCTGCTTGCCTTTAAGAACCGAACTTTTAGAGAGCGAGCCCCAACGCAACCTCGCTTTTTATATTCCCTGATCGTAACAGTTTTTGAATTTTGAATTGAATATGACAATCCGATTCGTCCCCCAAAAAGTCACTTATGACGTCGGAAACGTGCCGAACAGCCACATTCAAATTTCATTGGTCCCAGTCGTAGTGAGGCGTCTGTTCTAGGGCAAACGTCATTCTACATCTGGAAAGGCGTAAGTTTTCGCCTCGTAAACAACTTTTACGAGGCGAAAGCTTTGTGAGTGTCACGGAAGGTCTCGAGGAAAGACGTTGAAGCGACTTCATAATCTATGACGTCAAACAGAAATCGTCGTTGTAATTGCAACCAATCACTTGAAGAAGTGAATGTAGTCAACTCCTGAAATGCGGTGTATATAAAACACAGTACTCCTATACCGAACATACTTCAGACAACGGATGTTACTATAGACAATCAGGTCATCAAATTACAGCCTTCTGGGATATTTCGCCTTGTAGTTTTGTAGAAGTTGACTAAAGTTTCAGAGGTGCGTACTGCCTCCATCAACAGAGCGATGATTTCGACGACACTGACTGCCAGGCACAGCATCCCAGGAGACTGTCATCTTAACACCCTCCGCCGTTAAAACTTGATATCCCGTTCAGAGAATCTTTTGTTCACAGACTTTTTCCTGAATAAGATTTGAATATCCAAACATCTGATAATATCTGTTCTGACAACATTGCAATGATATTAATTATAAAACTGAAACTCCTTACAACATTTATCATTAAGCACATATAAAAACATAAGTAGGATGAATTGGAATGACTGGAAAGAGATTTTCTTTAGGAAAGTATATGTAATTTAAGCACAATAATCCTACTGTTATCATGCTGAAAATGTCATATTATATGTGTTTAAGTGCGTGATATTTAAAAATAACTACGTAATAAATAATTTTAACGTTTATAAAATTCCGTGAAACAATCTGTAGTGCTAAAGTTTCGGTGATTAGTGACAAATAGTTAAATAAATATTTTAATATTTTATACAGCTGTATTTTCCATACTACTTCTCAGGAAAGTTATGAAGTAAATGTGATGCAGATAGGAACTTGTCAAAACAGGTTCAATAATGTGAACACAATATAAAATTACAAATAGCCTCTACTCTTAATATTGGTACCAACTTTTACAGTCCTGCTTGAAGGAATATGAAGACATGCCTTGCTTTCTTTGATAAGGACAAATTCGCATCTGCTGTAATTATTTCTAAAAAGAAAGAGTACGTAAGGCAAATTACGCTAGATAAAGTCATAGCTTTAACCATGTTAAGCTACTGAATAAAGTCTTGTTTGTTAGTAAACATTTTTGGAACTGTAACACACATTTCATGAACTTACTTCTTCTAAACATGCACCAGTTTTTTTAACAAGTACCGCGAGTAAAGTCACAGCTCAGACCTCGCGCTAATTTTCTGCGATCGTTCAGGTGAACAATTCTGTTCCTACCTTGTGACGTTCAACGCGAGGCAAAATCCCGGTGAGCGAGGAAGACAGCCCAGGACGAACCGAACTAGAAGGCTGCGAGCTGTGTGCTGGCTCCAAAGGTGACAGCGCTCTTCGGGGTGGGTGGGGTAGTGGCGGATAGAGGACGGGGGAGACGCAAAGCAGGCCCATTTTGACCGGCGTACTTTCTTCCCGCACTGAGCATGCGTCACGATCTTCTTCGGTGCACCACGGTAAAATGAAGAATCAACAAAGAAAAACAAAAGAAGACACTCTTATATTACTTATAACACAGAGAAAGATGAAAAGAGAATACATTTCAATAGCGACTATGTACGTGTAATATAGAAGAGAGGTTGATATAGAGCAGAACAGACCAACAAGGGAACTAATTACTGAAAGAAATGAAGTGGGTACTCAAAAAAGGCTGTTGCCGGAAACAGGAGGAGAAATAACAATGTAACAAGTGAGAAAAGAGGAAGGCGGGATACTTGTTAAAGCGGCTAAGCATCTTTTGAGTAAATGGCAACACAAATGCGCAAATATAATATGTGAATGATATAAGGGATAATTAAACAATAATAGAGCACTAAAGATAGAAAAATGTTGACTTGTTGAAAGTTGTCCGTGAAATGTTTGTTGATGCTCTGTAAGACGGGCTTAAGTCAAAATAAATTTCTATTGGTTTAAGCTCTTCTTACCGACCACCGAAGGTATAAAGCTCAGAAAAGAAATTATTTGGATGATTTTTAGAGCACATAGAAGCAGCATCTGCAAATCGCCCTTCCACTTTGCTCGATTTTTGAAACTGGAAAATTAACCCAAACTAAGAACTGTTTTCTTAAACACCATTAACCACTTGATCTACGTAAATGTGAAGTGTTTTAGATGCGTTTGGGATTATTAAATATTATTTAGACGAGCGTGGGCTTCAAAGTTTTAAAGTATAACATGACCTCGTCCATTCTCCCCTGTTTATTGTTTATGAATATCCCGCTATATCTCATTCGACAACACCGAATTTATATAGGATCGTAAAACCACAATGTGTTTTTCTTTACGTCAGCGTCACAGGAGCGATATTTGCATAGTCGGAAAAAGATCGTCGTCGTTGGAAGAAGGGCGGGTTTCAACACGTCACTACACAGCAAATCGGTTCCTGGGGTAAAAAACGGCCGGAAAGGAGACAGAGCATCTCTAAAGAAACAGCATTTTTCTGAACTTTGGATAGAAAGGATCAGACAGAAGAAGAATTGAATAGCAGGTGACACAAAACTCTGTGCTATTAAGACGATAAAATTTTGGATAAATATATTGATATTTGCTTCGTTATTTGGATTTTAAGTTACTTAACGACATTTCTCAACTACACAGGTTATAGGATGTTAAATGCAGTATGTCTGAAAAGTGAATTTACAGAGGTGTGGAAGAAATCGGACATGGAATATCTTAATGTACTTTTAAAATTTGCCGTAAGTTATGAGGAAAATATCATAGGTTTTTCAGGATACCCCATCTCCGGGTCGAAAATCGAACTTGAGACTTACAGATACGAAACAGAAATGCTAATCTTACAATCGCCATATTCGGTCAGTGGATGAAAACATGAGAAAACAGAAATATAAATAGTGGTATATGCTACGTTCAACACAAAGATAATTTACCCACACATTCATGACTGTCAACAGTAGTAGGATGCATGTTTATCTGTGTTACTGTTTTGTAAATTCACTTTCACTTCTGTCATCAGACACTGTCCTACCACACATGTAAGTGCACTTATTATGTTTCTATAGCCACACGCTTAAAGTGTCAAAGAGTCTCCATTGGCTTATTATTGTCTATGCACAAAAATGAAAACATAGTATTGGAGAAGATGCGAATTATTTTTAATCTTGACTTCAGAACTGGAGATAACATTGCCCACTAAATACTAACCCGTACCTGAATAGTTCTGAGTCTGCAGATTTTAAATAACGAACAAAAAACAATTAAATATGGAGGTCCCGTGTTCAAATGTTTCAAGAAAGCGACTATCCTGAGTTTTGTGGTTTTTCTCATCCCTCTAAGAAAATCCGCGACAGTTTCTTGGATCACGTCACGACCGATTCCTTCCAAATCCTCTATAATTCATCATTCGCTTTTTATCCCGTCTTTCCCCAGTGTACAGCCTGAGCTACTTGCGGCGTCATTAAATAAACCACGAATAAAGTATTAACATTGAAAGTACGTTATGGAATTGTATAGTTTGGACAGAGCACAATCTCTGTCATTTCGCGGTCCATTAGACTTTAATAACGGCCGAATGAATTTCGAATTTTTAATCCTCTACTGCAATATACCTCGCATGCATGTTCTCCGGAATGAACAACACTTGACTATGCTGTGTCTGGGAATGATCACTTTCCAGCGTGTTCTGAGAAACACAAAGCAATCCCTGCCAGTAGGCCAACTCCATTTGGCCAGTATAAAAATAAACAGACTGAAAGGTATAAGCCCCCGCTAGAAGTTTACAAAAAAAAATTTAAACTCAGTTGTCAACATTGTCATAAATTTTCGTTCAACTCGGCTTCTGTTCCCTTGTGGAATTCGATCGGCCTTTAAAAACAAACTAAAAGAAGACATGACAACTTGTACATTTCACAGTCAAACCATGTACTAAACGTACATGTAGTAAATCTTATATGAATAATTTGGCACATGCAGCAGTCACCGTAAACAGATATGGAAAATTCCTATAAAATCAAAAGCACTGCCACACTAATCAAGTCTGTTCTTACCAAACCAAGAGCACTTTCTGTCTCTTAAAACAAGAATAATGTTGTTTTTATGATAAGAAGTTAGCCCAAACAATCCTCTACCCTGGAGGATCACAACTTTTCGGTGGTCCGCAAAGCCTGTACAGCATAATAGCAGCTGCCCTCCCATCCATAAATGGAGGTTCCTTCAACCAAAAGGCAAGGGCAAGCCACGCCGAAATGTGTGTTGGCCCACTAGACCCGCCTTTCAAAAACAAAACACGAAAATCGCCTTTTAAAATAATTTTTAAACTTTTTTTAGAATGTCATCCTGATATCATTTCTTTTCCAGAAACATATGTCTCATTCATACAGATGGAATAAACTAATTATAATTCTTATTTTTTCTGAAACAAACGGAGCAACAAAATAATTCTGATAACGCGGCGAACAGGAGAAAAATTTTCGGACTGCGCCTTATAACGCCGAGAGGGATGTGCAACTTCTCCTACTTTACTGAACAGCATATAGCCTAAACAAATTTTTGCAGGTGATTTGAACTGGCATTGAACACAAGCAAATTTAAATACTATAGGTAACATCATTAAAATAATTTTAAATCCTTTACTGAAAGGAAATTGCGGATCAAGAGGTGTAAGACAAGCAAGGTCTTACTGTGGGAACACGCAGAACGTCGGTTCGAATCCTGCTTTGGACAGACCGAGTTCTTCCATGTTGTAGGGGAGAAGGGGGCTAGTTGTTATATTTTGGTTTAAAATCCACTCATTTGCAGCAGCATCTCATGAGTCTCGTATCTATTGCTTCTCCCCTGTGCGCAGTTCTACCCAAGGCATGGTACTTGTAGCTCGTGTATTACGTGAGCTAGGTTGATTTAAGTGTTTTTACCAGTAAAAAGTATTTTTTTTCTTCTGACTTTGAACTCACTTCCACGACCGCGTGATAAAGGCGAGTTCTTCAAAATTTCCTTACCTAAATCTCTTTATATTAAGAGCAAGGCCTGTACTTCGTTCTTCACTTCAGTCGAATATTGACACTGCTCTGACCGTTAGATCAAAGTGACATATTGTGGGGCCAGTTGTTACACTGGACAAGGGTAATAGAGGTAATACAAGTTTGGAAACGTTTAAGTTAGCAGCTGATGAAGTGTCTTCTCGAAGAATCTCGTTAAGACAAACTGCTAATATATGATGAAAATGTTTCATATGTTTGAAGTTAATTTCTGTAATTCATTGTTAATTGGTATATTGTCTGTAATTAATTACTTAATAAAGGTCGGAATTGTTCCTTCTGTTTACTAATGCAATGTGTTGTAACAATTTTCCCCTTCACTGTAACTAGCACCATAACAGGGCAAATTGTTAAAAACCGCCTCCTCATAAATAGAAAAAGTTTTGTGATGAAACAAAAATGAATAAGCCTTTGAAGAAATGTTATTAATATAGCTGAATAGTAGTAGTACCTGAAGCTATAATTGCTAACTTTGTAAATTTTAAGAATAAATGTACAAAAAATTGTAATTGAAAATTGTAAGAACTAGCCCCAGTCTCCCATAATTTGAATGAACTTTGCGACGGGCAAACACTCGCAAAACTCCTAAATGCACCAACTGTTTGTATCTCGTTTAATTTTGATACAAAGCTATACAACATGCCTAATCTATGTTAAGATGGAGGAAAGCATGTTACAAAGCAAAGAACGGGGAGAAATGAAGGACGCTCGTCACTCCACTTGAGCTATCAATTACAACCCAACCAGATTTCCGAAGCTCTTTACCTATCGACTAGGTACGAAGCGTTCGTGCTAACCGTGTTAGCCCGGCTAACACTTTGAAAGACGATAAACACAACGCGTTATTTTCGTGGTACAGTCGAACTCCATACACTGAAAAACAGCAGATCCAATCAGATAAAATGAATCGTTAGCCAGATCCAGCCAGCCAGACGTTAACCAGATTGTTGATGGTTAGGCTCGCCACGAGCGTAACATCGCCTGGCTGACTGCAGCTGCCTAACTATGCTTTTTATCTGATCGGTTCTGCTGTGTTCAATTAATTAAATACCAGTGAAATACGAAAGTCAAACGGAAGACTTTTCGGTTTTTAATCTGTAAGCCGGGCTAACACGCTAACACGTTTAACATCAGTCTTTGCTTGCTACCCGTTCTTAAAGCATCCTCTTAAAATTGTCCGTTGTAATAGTGTTAAGGATTTTCTTCCTTGGCCTTTCAAATAAATAGCAGAGGCCTTCTATCTGGATGGAAGGACTACAAATTTGGATTACGGAACAGTGAGTTTTAAGATGCTTGTTGCTTCTGTAAAGTGTTAACAGAACTTCACTTTAGAAAATATAGAGATACACTGGGAGTAATCAGTCAACTTCACGGTTATAATAAACTTTACTACCTGTTTACTAGTTTACTATCTTGGTCATCACATAGGAAATAGATCGGTATACTTGTCTAATACAATTGGTGTCTCCCTCATTTGTACCTGAAGACGAACAAACATTCATCCCTCACATCCCGATGGTTTTAAAGTTTTTCGAATTTTTAAGACTTTTTAAATAAACAGACGATAAATAGAGTCCAAAACAAAGAAAGTAGTAATATCATACCATAGTCAACAACATTCATAGAAGAATTACTTGATCAGTTAAGCGACTATTAACTGCTCAAGAAGGAGACTAATTCAAGGAGATAATATTATTATGAGATAGGTCTTATGGGCCATGATCTATTAGGTTGCTACCGACTTCGAAGCCTGATAAAAGAATGAACACAACTGTTTTTGGTCTTCCACAGTTTCCTCAGTCCTTCCAGACAAGTGCCAGAACAATAAGAAAAACACTGATCGGTTATTTACACAGCCTTGATTCGTCGTTATCTTCTACATCTCATTCTTATCTCAAAGTATGAGAAAGCGGGTGTGCGTGTACGAAACAGGAAGGAAATTAATTTATAATTTTGAAGATGATATAATGACATCACAGTGCATGTAACAAATTATACAAAGACGCTTTGAAGAGAGATCTGATTACCTTTTTTAGTCCGAGCCTTTCATATTTCAGTGAATAAAGAAGGTAATAAAATGGTGGAGTTTTAAAACTGTGAAGGTTTCTTGTTGGTGGTTAATCCTTTCTAGCTGTTCGGCTAGAATCCTCTTTGTGTTCAGTTCCCATCTGCGATATGAGAGGATTTACGCGATTACAATTAATTTTAATTTAACAATCCATGTCAAATGAAACTAATGGAATAGACTCTAACTTTGTACAATTTAAGCAGAACTGTATATATGTTATTAAGCGCATCCAGTGACCGCGAGATTTAAGGGCGGACTGTGTTAGACAGCCCACTCGATAATTTCGAATCTCACACGGAGCACGTCTGGCAGAAATTTAAGTGTGCTCGCAACCCTTTGGAGCGCCAATTAAAACTACCTCGTCCTTCCGTCGGTCTGTCTGTCTGTCCATCCGACTGTCCGTTATCATGAAATGATTCTAAAACAGATAAACTAGTTTTAACTTGATAAGCAGTATTTTAAGGAAAATGTCAAAAAACTTCATTTAACGGTCACCCGATTTGCTTCCAGTGAAGTGCAACATTAGATAAGCCAGAGAAGAAGATGGTGACGAGAATGAATGACTTGCCGGAACCGATTATTCCGAGTCACTGCTTTCTGAATCACGAATCGCAAAGTTTACATCCACCTGATCCATAAGAAGTTTGCTATCCGTCAAGCTTAAGAACTGAAACTCGGTATAAAAACAGAAGACCTGAGCTGAGTGACAGAGAAATTGAAAATCCTGGATTAGTAAGAAGCTCTTGCTTGTTACACCTTGGTTGAAATGCGTATTATATAGGGTAAGTTAGAGATAGGGAAAATGTGAAAACGTCCCTAAATTATCAAAGAATTACCTTGGCTAAAAGATGCAAGACATTTGACTTCTTGTACTACTACTTCCACTGCTGTTGTCACCAGAATGCTTCTTTCCCAAATGAGGGGCGCGTTTTGGAAAATAACTCTTTGAATCAGTATTCAATTTCAAGACCTCTCATGTTTATTAAGATGCACAGAATCCTTGATCCCATTCATCTCGGCATAGACTCAAGGATTCTGGGCATCTTATTATAGATTCCAGGTCTTGAAAGCATCCCTTGTAAGGGTTGACATGCGCCTCGTTACAAATTAAAACGGTGTCCAAGTAAGACCAGCAAAATATCGTGCAGTCTAGAAGTGACTGTCTCTTTGTTACCAATCGGATTAAGGACTTTTGTCTCAGCTCAACGCTGTACTCGCGGAACTGAAAATTTCTTGTATAAGAAGAGCGCATTTAAAAAATTTTACTCAGTTGCTGCCCCGCCATAAGATCGGCCATAAGAAGGGAACAAAACACATGGCAACATATTTCCCCCCATGTTCTTCCGCTTTTGTCATCAGACAGACTGTAAATAAAACTACAATGTTACCTTCTGTCTTGTGCAAGTATGAAATTTGGCCTCTCACCTAAAGGGAAGACTGTATAAAACTTTGATTCTATCGATAATAAATCTCAAAAGACAATAATTAGGTTTCGATGACATTTTAAAAACGTTTATGTCTGAATGGTAATATGGAATCACAAAATCTTATTTAAAAATAAGACCTTCATCTGGATTCTCATACTTTGCTTTCGAGACCTGAAATCTTCGGAATATATTAAAGGGCACAGATTCAATTAGAGCGCTTTCTATCTGTCCATAAATTATAAATGATCAGTTCCTCCAGCAAAAGGTCGATCAAGGAAATCCAACTCTCTGGCCTCGGCTTTGGATCACCCAAGAGAGATTTGTTAAAATAAGTTATCATCGCCAAAATACATCCAATGAAGCAAAGAACAAGATAGCCGAAACCATCACAGACCACATGGGCGTACGTCACTGGAAAGAAAAGCCATTAATGGATATTACAATTGTTTATAATTGTATCACAGCCTATTTTACACCATTGATACATTTAAATGCAATCTGTGCTCACCCAGTGCACTATTTTAATTATCAGTAAAGAGTTTCTGCCCTATAATCGTAAAGATGGTGTTTAAACTGAACGTGTCAGAGCGGTCACGAATACGATTCTCATTCCGGACACGCCTACTTCAAAGTCAAACGGGCGACTCCATATCGTAACAGCTTTATAGTTGCTTCATCTAGTTTTTCCAAGATGTGCCAGGATTATCTATCCATCCGGTAATAAAACCGAAGGTTAAACATAGCTAATAATAAAATCCGACGCTGGACATGATCCGAGGTCAGTTTCATTTATTTCACGTCCTCCTCGCAGCTTCACATCTACTTGACGCTCTATTATGATTTTACAGTAGAAACGGCGTCGCCGTAGGACAACCGAAGAACCACGAGAGATGACTAACTTTCTTTTGATCTTAGATTCTGCAGTTGAAGGACTGCAAGACTGAATCGGGCGAGGTAGCCTTAAAGAGTTGTTACAGTAAACACGCCTACAGGTGATGTGGCGTCAGAACTGGAGGGAAGGGGTGGAGTGGTGGCTGCAGTCACCTCGCCAGCCCGGGCCAGAACTTACGCCACCTCCCTATTCCCTGCACCCTAGATCGATAAAGCACGCACACGTATTCGGGCAATAGTGGATCAAGGGACAGTTACGTGATGGTACTTGAGGCTGATTATATGTGGTTGAAATGCTAATCCTCGTGTTCGCGTGGTCTAAGTACCCATAAATTTCGGTCATTACAACACAGTTATCATGGGTCGAGATACGAATGTGTCGACGTGTTAACGGACGGAACAGCCTTCCAATAAGACTCACATGCCACCTGCCATATTAGGGTTTTCACGTTTGCAATGGGAAAAACCGTGGCTAAAAAATCTCCACAACCAATGGAATAGTGAATATCATCATGACATTTATGTCGAAAGAGTAGACACGTGCTAGTGAAACCCTTCTTCTCCGATTTCAAGTAACTGGCTAAACTGAGGATAAAATCACTGGGAATTATCTTCAGGTTAACTTTAATTAACAAAAATGCAAATTAGGAACAGGTGAATTTGTTTCTGAGCGTTCTGTTCGTAAGATAGCAATAAAATTAAATCAATAATTTATTGATTCGCAATTTACAGTTTTATGTTTTTTAATACCGAAAGTAAATCTTGCATGTTAACATCCAGAACCCCCCCCCTCCCAAATACCCTTGTAA